CACAGTACTCACCTCACTTTTTCTACCTTTTCTACCTTCGTCATTGANTTTCCACCTATGTGCCTGTCTATTTTACATCTTTGAAACATTTTTCTGTCCCCCTCTTCTCGACGTTTTATCACTTTGATGTTCCTTCCCCCTCTGTGAAGCCCGAAGTCAGCTAAAAGGCTAATGATAATTATCAAAACGCCTGCCATTTGATATAAATAAATGCTTAGGTTGGGTAATGAATGAGCTCCACTCCACTTTGAAGACACTGCTGCTGCATTTTAGACTAGCTGGCTTGGAATTTGGATTGTGGACTCCTCCGACGCATAGATCGAAGAAGAAATAGAAGATGATATGAAATGAGTGAAAGACAATTGGAGAAGTCGAGTACATTGTCAAGTAGAACAGCTTTAGGTAGATGGAACTTTTAAATTGTAGTTGTAGTATTGCCTCCACATCATGAGGCTTTACGGGTAGGCAGGTTGTCTGCTAACTCGAAAAGTGGTAGAGTTCGTTAAAACGGGATAAAGCACTCGAAAATTCATACTTTCGTGATTGCTCCAGGAGGCCAATAGAAATGATTGAAAAAGCCATTCATAAACGTGGAACCAGGTAGTGTATATCACCATGGACGTTTATGGGCACAAATAATTGTGTTCAAAAGAAGCTAAATTCGATTTCAAGCATCGATCATGATAACATAATTATTGTATTTTATAAACGTGTCGCCGCTCTCTGTGATTTTATTATCTGGAAAGTTTCACTCATCGATCAAATCAAATTTGGCGTCTGAAGTGACATAGAAAAGGTTGCTTTATCAGTAAACGGATCTCCGAAAAATTAACTTCCATTAGTTACTTTAATTTAAATGCAAACATACAATTTCATTCATTTCGAAATCTGAAATTCTCCGTATGGGGACGAATTTTTAATTTTAAATTATTTTAATTAGATTCACAGTATTCTAATTAGATATTCCTCTAAGCAATACTGTTATTTAAAACTTTAAATACTGTTTAAAACTGACTTTAAATGAAATGTGCAAAAAGTAGGAAATCTTTTCCATCTCTCTCACTCATTCATATTTTGTCCCAATGTTTCTTGTTTGTATGTAGTTACAGGAAAGATTTTCTCAAATTTACTTACTCTGCAAAAGGTAATAATGAAATTCTAAAAGATACGCAAACAATAATAATAATAGTGATTAAATAATTATTTAAACGTTTCAGCTGTCGATTAGCAGACCATTATCCAAAGCATCTTGGACTGATTTGATGTGATCTAAATCTGAGTTTAGGCCAAACAGCTGATTTTCCTTTTTCGCGTCTGCACTTTCCATGATTTGCAATCAAGTGCCCTGAAATGTGTATCTCAACCTCTACAGGTGGTTCTGTAGCATCTTGGAAGTTCTAACCTTCTGAGTCTATTACAAACGTGTGTTTCGAGTACCTCTGCGTTCGGTTCCACGGATCCTATCAGTCTCTAATTGTTTTTGCCTACATTCGAACAACATGTTTCTTACCACTGAAAAAAGAGCTCAAAGTGTCTCATTATCCTCAATGGCTCTAATTTCACCTATTTCACAATACCTGGGTGTTCTCGCCTCCACTTTTCTCTCAATTTCTTATCCTTCTTCTTACTCCTCCATCTCCTGACCCATTTCTGTTTCCAAAAACTCGTTCCAAGAGTGGAAATT